AAAAAAAAAAGAAAAGAATTACAGTATAATGCTACAGAATAATATTTCTATGCCAAACATGTTCAAAATAAATCAATAAAATTTATACTATGTATTAAAGCAAACTAAAAAAAAAAAAAGATTCATGGCCTATGGGACTATAGACATGTCCCACCATGCCCAGCCTAGAACTTTGCATTTACAGATAAATAAGTAAGTTGAGGATGTACTTCAGTGCAAAGGGTCTGGGGTTCAATTCCAAGGGCCATTAGGGGAGATGGTTGCAAGAAATTAGTCTTCAAATGCATTAAGAGCAAACAACAGCTCAATAGATAAATGGGTAAAGGTATATCAATACAAAACTGTTGTGAATAAGGACAATGCCGATTAAAAAATCAGCGAGATACCGTTTGCTTTTCTTTTTTTGTATTTTACAGAAGGGAAATGTTTATTTTTCATTACATGAACAGAAAATACCATGATTGGTCTCTTTTCATTGTCTAGTCCTCAAGTTCTTGCTTTCCTTGAGAGTCACATGGAGAGAAAACATTCTCTCAGGCTTTCACAGAGAGCACATTGGCCAAGCAATGGCCGTGACTCATCCACATGGCTGACAACGACAAAGGTTCTACAATCTGAGGTACAGGATCTCAGGATAAATCCTGAGGGGATTTCACTGACCTTATCAGATCCAAAAGCTACAATTCTTGTTGCATAGGTCTTGCTTTATCTTAGTCTTAACCATCCAGCAGAAAAGTATAAAAACGAAGTATAAGAAGTAAAGCTATGGTGTTATGTTGTGCTGTGGGGGACTTGGGTCAACAATTTCTGACATTGCCAGTGAAACGGAAAACCCAGTACTATTATGGACTATTGGACTCTTTCAGAATATTTTGCTGAGTTAACACACCTATAATATTCAAACGATGGAACTAAATAAAAAAGGGTATACAGATGAATGTCCATTTTGTATCTGTGTATTCAAAGTGGTTAGGATAGATATGTAGTTACATTCTCTTAATGAATAGAGGGATTTGTTCAAATAGTGTTTGTAAATAGGATATCATATCCACATCTTGTATGCAAATACAAACACTTGTATTGCATACACTAGGAAGAGAGTATGCAATGTGTTAATTATTGAAACTGTCCTACCAATTTGATTTGAAACTGTCACATTGCTATTTGTCTCTCAATAAAATTATGAAAAAGAAAAACAAAACATGATTGGTTGTATAGCGTCCAAAGCTGGCAAAAACTATGTATAAGTTGATACAGCATTCTTGGGGTCCTACTTAGGCAGTAGCTATTAAAATTTTAAACGCCATTGACACCAAAGATCACTCTCTGTGGAATACTAGGTTAAGCCATATTAAATTGTTGGTTTTGTAGGTCAAAACTGGCCTAATTTCCACAATTGCTTATGGCTTAAACCAGCACCGGAGGGGGTCATGGGAGGGGGCGGGCTGAAGCCTGACCTGAGAAGAATCTGGACATTCATTGGGTTCAGGAAACGTCAATCATCTGTGCTCAAGGAATGAAGACGGGTGCTGGGCGGGACTTCCCAAAGCCTACGGCCCTTGGGGGCGTGGAGGAGGGTCCTGACCTGACTTTCTCCGTCTATCTGGTCTCCTAGCTAGAGGGTAGGGACTCACCGTGGCCCCCAAGGGTAGAGGAGAGTTTATTGAAAGCACAGAAGGTGTGTGTGTGTGCGTGTGCACTTATTCGTGTGGCGTGTACCCAGTTTCTTTGTCCTCACAGACTAGCAAACACATTCAGTGGCCGATATTAGTAAGAGCTTATTTTAAAAAGTGGTACAGACGCGACCATCAGTATCTGGGGAATAATGTACCTACTTACAAAAACCAACTAGCGCCCAGCCTCCTGGGATCTTCTCTGGTTCGCTGTCAGCGCTAATTCTAACCTGCCCTCCCGTGCTGCTGGAAGCAGGCCCCAGGCTGACCTCCCGGGCTCCTGCCGGCTGCAGGCACTGAGGGGCCATCACATCAGTCCCGTGGCGGGCAGGCTCCTGAGGGCCGTGTGTGTCTGTAAAGACAGGAAGCTGGCAGCCTCTCTTCCTGGTGCTCCACAGTCACTTCTTGTCTCTCCTTCATACAGCTCGGGAGAAGTCTGCTCCGATGTTGGGGTGAGGCTCAGAGAAGCCTCACAGAGAGCATGTGGCAGAGCTTGGATTTGGCCCAGGCCAGATGGCGCTGCACACTATAGGCTAGGAGTTGCCTGTTGGTTGAGGACTGTGACAGTCACTTATCTTTTCCTCCTCATGCCCTGGGTCCACAGCTGAGAGGCCAGTTTGTGACATCTAAGCCAGTTCCCTTCCCTGGGTTTGCAGGGCTAACTGCCCGCTCATTGGCATCCCTGGAGGGATCCAGGCTGCCCCTTCTGTGTCTCCTCCAGTCTTCATTGCCTGCCTGCTGCTGTCTGCACCTGTGTTTGGCTACCTGGGTGACCGCCACAGCCGCAAGGCCACGCTGAGCTTCGGCATTCTGCTCTGGTCAGGGGCTGGGCTGTCAGGCTCCTTCATCTCCCCTCAGGTAGGTGCCCATGTGCTAAAGAGCACCTTTCTCCCTCATCTACCCCCTCATAGCTGAATGGGATAGTTCTGCTCTTTCTCTGGCCCAGGCTGACCCGGAGCTTGCACTGCCAAGGAGGGGCAGGCACAGCTCCAGGCCTGAGGCTCCCCTCACCCCCACATCTGCCCGTTAAAATTTCTTAACTGGAGGTTTCCTCTTGCATACACATGGTTGCCCTTGGCTTCAGTTCTGCCTGGTGCTGTTGGGGGTGGGATAGAGCTGGGGGAAACAGCTCCTTCCTTGGTGAACTAGCCTGGTTAGATAAGAGACTCAGGAAAAAGGGCTCCCAGCCACCAGCAGCGGGCGATCATGTGATTCCAGGAATCTAGAGTGGGGGGCAGATATGGAGGGGGGAGTATCTGTGGCCCTGGTCCCCTTTCCTTCCCTTGGGATCCCCTGTTCTGAAGTCCTTGCAGCTCTTCTGATACATTCTTGGATTTCTTCCTCCATGGGTGATTTCTGGAATTCACTGTGATCTTGTGCCCATTTTGCCCAGTATTCTTGGCTTTTCTTCCTGTCCCGGGGAGTCGTGGGTACTGGCACAGCCAGCTACTCCACCATTGCACCCACAGTCCTGGCTGACCTCTTTGTGAAGGACCATCGGACCCGCATGCTGGCCATCTTCTATATCTTCATTCCTGTTGGAAGGTTGGTGTCCCCTCCAGGATCTGCCTCCCCTAGTAAACTGGGTGGGGTGGGAGAGGTCAAATCAGGAAGTCTGGGATCTGAATCCTGGCACTGCCTTTCCTTTTTTTTTTTTTTAAAAAAACCGGGGATTGAACTCAGGCCTTTGCGCTTGCCAGGGAAACTCTTATTCCACTGAGCCATCTCCCTGGCCAAAACATCTGTCTTTTGCTTTTCTTTCCTTTTTTGCAGTACCAGGGATTGAACTCAGGACCTTGCACTTGCCAGGCAAGTGCTTATTCTACTCAGCTATCTCCTTGGCCCTTGCCTTTCCTAGTCACATCACTTTGCTGCTCTGAGCTTCACTTTCCTTGGCTGCTAATGGGGGTGTGGTGAGGATTAGAGATAGTAAGGATGCTCCCCACAGGTTTCTATGTGGAAGAGCCTGTGTGGCTGCCTCAGGGAGGAGCTGGCGCTGGAGGTGAGGCAGGAAGTGTTTTTTAGCCTGTGCCCTACACGCCCAGCAGGAAGGATAGAGGGGTTTATGGTCAGGCTTCTGAGCTCTGACCCAGGTTTCCTGACCTGGCCTGACTCAGATAGGGCTGAGCTTTGGGCATAAGGGTGGGGCTGTTGGTGGGATATGTTTGTCCTCATCTGAGGGGAGAGTGGCACTGTGGGGGACAGAAGCCAGAGGTCACTGGTGAGTTGACCAAGGGCAGTGAACACCTGGGCCTCACAGGGCTCATTTTTCTCAGGGAAAAGTCTCTGGTCCTGCAGAGAGCTGGATCCTGGGCAGGGGCGCCCTTGCCAGGCTGCTTAACCTCCTTGCCTTCTCTGTTACAGTGGTCTGGGCTATGTGCTGGGGTCGGCTGTGACGAAGCTGACGGGGAGCTGGCGTTGGGCCCTCCGTGTGAGTCTGACTTCCTTTTCTTCCCTCTGCTTTCCCCTGGGCCGGCAGGGACTTTCCAGCCTCCCGTGGCCTTAGCCCTTTGGCCCGGTACCCGGCGCCATGGGGGTGTCAGATGTCTGAACTTCGGACATTTGGGGCCTCAGATGGAACATAGTCTATGGAAATAGTGACCCTGGGTTCAAATCTCAGCTGCTGAGTTTATGAGCTGTGTGACCTCCAGTGAGTTGCATCCCTCTTTGGAGCCCAGCTTGCCTCTCTATGGAGTGGGGGCAGTGAGTTCTCCCTGTGGAGTCTTGAAGATTATTGAGATAAGGACTGGAAAGCTCCTACACCAGGGTCAGGCACTGGTAGGCCCTTTAGGGCTGGCAGAGGTGGTTGGGCAGGGAGCCATCACACCTGGGAGATACCTGCAGGGCTGCAGCATCAGCTCAGCATTGCACAGGGCTGTGGGCTACTCAGGAGAGGAAGGGACTTGGTGGCTGAGGGGGCTGACATGTGAGACCATGGAAGGCAGGATCAGGAGCCTGAGGTGGGCTGGGCTTCAAGAAGGTCATTCTGGTCAGGTATGACGGTGTACACCTGTAATCCCAGGACTCCGAAGGCTGAGGCAGTAGGATTGCTAAATTTGAGGCCAGCCTGGGTTGCATAGTGAGTTTGATCCAGTCTTGGACCCTATCTCAAAAAGAAAAAGAGAAAAAAAATAGAAAGAAAGAAAAATAAAATAAAAGAGTCAATCTCTCTTGGCTTGACCGAGAGCTTTCTCACGGTCCCAGCTATTTCAAGGCTGCCCCAAGGTAGGTAGTGAGATTCCTCATCCTTGGCGTGTGGTCTTGGGCACAGCCAGGAGAGACACTAGGAGAGGACTGGTGTGGCAGATGGAGGTACAGACCAGCAGAAGGACAGGCTAATGCTTGGGGCAGTGAGTACTTGGTGGCCAGAATTCCTGTTTTCAGGCATCTTGGTTCCCCTTCTTAGCAGATTAGCATCTCTACCAGGTGAGGGCACCCCATTCCTAGTGAGGCTGTACCCACACAGATAAAGGTACAAGACATGGTAGCGTGTCCAGCTCTAGATATAAGCAGTACCTAGGACACAGACACTGGCTGGTCTCCTCGGTTTCCCAGGCCACAGCTGCTTGTGACCTTGAGCCCTCCTGTCCCCAGATCATGCCCTGCCTGGAGGCCGTGGCCTTGATCCTGCTCATCCTGCTGGTTCCAGACCCACCCCGAGGAGCTGCTGAGAAGCACGGGGAGGTGGCCATGCGGGCTCCGGGGAGCAGCTGGTATGAGGACATCAGATACCTGGGGAGAAAGTAAGTGTCCCAACTCCCTGCTGTAAGCCACAGAGAACCCCCATTTGTGCCAGCAGTCCTGATGCCCCTCTCTGCCCCTAGGAAACCCTCCCTGGTTTTTCCATGTTCACCTCTCTTTTTCTTCTCTGAGCTCACCCGGCCTACTAAGATGCCTCTCTGCCTCCTGGGACTCAGCCCCCATCACGTCCCCCATATGACAGAAGCACGGACTGGTTGTGTGGGCTAGTGGCATGACCTTGAGTCTTGCCTCTGCCACTACCTAGAGTGGCCCTGAGGCCTGGAGCCCTGCTCTCTGCATCAATCTAATGGATACTTTTCCCATCTTGCATTTCTCTGGGCTGATGGGAGGATGCTGGGAGCTCAACACTCACCTCTCCAAGCTTCACTGGAGTGCATTGCCCTCTGTCCCAGGCTTGTTGGGAAGCCAGGCAGGAGCAACTTTGGT